CCTCCAAATTCCCTTCTTCTACTCCCATTAACATACTGGTTCCTTTCATCCCCCCTATATCTTGTCTCAAAGGGACTCTTCTTATCCCCAAACTCTCTTCTAGGAGGTTTTTCCTGCTTCATCACTTGCTGTACTGTTGCTACCATCATCTTACTTTCTGCCTTACTTTCTCTGAACATACACTTTCCTCCTTCTCTGGCTGTTGTTGGGGCCAGGTTCCAATTCCTCCCACCAAATAAAACAACATAAATTGACCATGTCTTCTTTGTTCAACCCCAACCTCAAAATCTCCCGGTTATAGGGCGGGGATCCCCATCCAGCCAATATTTTGCCCAAAGGGCCATTCGGGTCGATTTTGAGTTTGGGGTTCTTACGGATCCTTTTAACACACTTTTTCCCCGGATTGGTTGACCCTGTATTGCCCCCCATTTCTTTTATGGGTGCTCAGCCTATCTTGAGTATGTGTGCCTATGTCCCTCCCAGCAACTCCTTCTCAGTTCCACACGTCACCATCTCCGGATATTCAATAATATCCCCTTCACTCACTCCGTCCTGCAGACCTCCCCGAGGTCCCTCAAAAGGACTTCCACCCGGCCCCGTTGCCAGTTCTCACATCCACACACTCTATCCCGACCGCCCTGGACTCTTGTGTTCTGGTGTTTTCAAACCAGTACTCACCAGGGTCTGCGCGCAGATGTTACCCGGTCTGTCTTCAGGCTGTTCCGCACTTTATTCACCCTTCTCCTAATACTCGTCTTTATTAAAATTTTACGGGCTTTCCAAGAGCTCCGCAGTCCTCTGGGTGGTTCCCCTCCTTTCAAAAGGAAAGGGGTGCACCTAAGGAGGACCCCTCAGAGTCCCAGCGCAGATTGGATCCCGGTCGAGCCCCCAATTTGTTTGTAGAATTCCTCGAAAGAAATTCAGAGACAAGGTTCGGAGTAGCAGAATAAAGTTTCTTTTATTATCAAAAATCAAGTTTAGCAGGAAAAGACGGTTTGCAAAGCGTGGTGGGACTCAACCATGCACTCACAAGAGTTACAAGGAAAAGCCACACCTCCTACAGAAGCGTAACAGCAGTTATACCCCTCCCTAACTCCTCCTACACCTACGTCAGCTATTCCTGACGTGGCAGGTCACAAACCTATCAGACGACACAATTATCCTACCTTACCTCCTACCTTACCATATATGGGTATTCTTTTGTTCTCTACATGTGGACATTCTCTACTTAGTTTCAGGCACGTACTCATGTTTTCTTGCACGTGCTCAGTGAGCCTGTTGCTGAATAGAAAATTTTAAACTTTTCTAAAACCTTCCCATTCAATCTCTATTGATTCTGAAAAAGTATGTTGTACAGCTCAGATGTGACTTGACTGCAAAGGCAAATGATAGATTACGGCACTGATATGGTTCAGTAATGTGATATATTCAGCCTGCTTTAAATTGCAAATTCAGATTTCCACAGTTATGGCATTCTTAATCTATGTTGTGGCTCTTAGGATTTTGAACAAAATCTTTAAATACATAATATTTTGACATGTGGTTCAATAGCTAAGTTAGGAGTCTGACAACATGGTAGAATTCCTTGTAGGAATAATTAATATAGTTTCTATAATTAATATAGTTTCTCCCAGCTGGATATACATTGTAGATACTTTGACTATTCTGCAGAATCTACTAATTTGGAATGTAGCATGTTGCAAACATTCTTGGCACAGTAATTAATATTCCTCAATTTACAACTGAAGAGTCAACAAAACAGCATATGCAATCCAAACTCCAGTGCAGAGAAAGTTTATTCCATAATCTCTATAGTAGTAATGAAATAAGTTTCTTTGTCAAATGTAATATAATCAGATCTTTCTTTTTTAACCAGTCATCAAACTGCATTATTTCTGATCTCTTTTGATGAAATATTTTGAAGCTTCTTAAATCATTTTTAATCAGATCAGACAGATTTTAGTGTGAAAATACCAGGATATTTTAGACTATCCAATAAAAATTAAATTAAAGGAAGTCTAATGATTCAAATTTATTCCAAAGTTAAAATTTGAGCATGCAAATTATTTGCAGGGCCAATTAATTGCAAATGTCATAGTGGCCCTGTTTAGTTTGAACTTGCTCTGAACAGAAATGTCAATAATACAAGATTTCATTCATTTGTCTTGACTGAAAAAAAAAATAACTGAGGTTAACTACTATTATTCTCCACAAGAAACAGTAAACTAGTTCCATAGATGGTGAAAAAAGTTCATAGAGCTCATGTGGTAGGAAATTATGATAGTTTAACTGTTATTTGCATGTCATGGTGCTTGTAAACCTCTTAGTCATCTTGAGTTCATGATCGTCAGTGGATTTTTTTTTCTGTTTGTGCCAGACATAATATATTAAGATTAGTTTCTGTTCAGATTAAGCATACCGTACATAATCATATTTGAAAAACATCTTAACAGCCTTAAAAACAAAAGACACGTACAAATCTAATTTTAAGTGTCATAGTAGAGCACTCATATTTAGCCCAGAATTATATAGATATTTCACATTCAGATAATTCATGTTGTGTAAGAAATTCCAGTATGTGTCTGGATATGTATACAAATAGACACATAAACATGCACACATATATATGGAAAACATGTTCAGAAACCTATTACATCATTTTGTCAGTTCTTCAGTTATGAAAATGTCTTGAGAAAGATGTAAAGATAAAGGTAAAGTAGGTGTGCTGGGAACTGATTTTTCCAAATCTTAAATTATGCTACCATGCAGTTTTGGACAAGTACATTTACTAGAATGTTTTGAGTTCCACATAATAGACTATTGTAGACGTAACATCTGCCACTGTACAATCCATTTTAAGATTGTGGTATACTTTTTCTGGAAATGTTCATTCTGATCCATTTTCTCCTGTTAAATTGCCATTATATGGTTATCGAGACCTCAAAATTGAGAAAAGGACTATTATATGGAAGATGCTGAGATTTTTACTTTAAGTTTTTAGGTCTTTAGGTCAATTATTGAATGATAATGATGATTTTTTAAAAACATTTTTTGGGATGTAACATCTACTAACATAGTGATGTGTTGTCAGTTTCAGAGTAACTTAAATAATTAAAAGTGATTGCCAAATCTTATGAGAATAAACAACTCACCATAATTTTTAGAAATACTTGTCAGCAAATCAATTCAAAATGTAAATATTAAAGTGAGTGGAATAAAGAATGAGAGATCCTCATTTTGTCTAAATCGATGTTTCTCAACCTTTTTTTACCCTTGACCCCCTTCTGAGCACCCCCTGCCCAGGTCCCATTGTCGGAAACAGACATGGGTCAGTAAGTGGTGCATTTTTTGGCACCAACAAGGTGGTATTGCAGTATAATTACAGTTTGCTTCTGTCTGGCCCCTGTTACATGTTTTTCACCCATGCCCTCTTGAAATATTCTAGGGCCCCCAGAGACTACAACTAGTCCTCGACGTATGACCATAACTGAGTCCAAAATTTCTGTTGCTGAGCGAGACATTTCTTCAGTGAGTTTTGCCCCATTTTATGACCTTCCTTGTCACATTTGTTAAGCTAAGTGACTCCAGCTTCCCCATTGATTCTGCATGTCAAAAGCTTGCAAAAGGTGACCACATGACTACGGGACACTGCGACCATCATAAATATGAGTCAATTGCCATGCGTCTGAATTTTGATCATGTGTCCGTGGTGATGGTGCAATGGTCATTAAGTGTAGAAAATGGTCACAAGTCACTTTTTTCAGTGCTGTTGTAACTTTGAACGGTCCCTGAATGAACTGTTGTAAGTCGAGGATTATCTATATATGGCCTCTGTTTGACCGCCGTTGGCGTAAACCACCATATTATTGATAATTTGAATATTCATCATACCATAAGATGCTATTCATGGCCAAGTAACATTTTCCTTGGAGCAAAATGACACACAGCAGTGAACAAGCTTTTGACAAATCCCAGAACATGGATCACGCAAACAAAATACAAGCGCAATATAAGCTTCTGGTTGATTATACAACTTAGTTATCTGCAGCTTGATATTGCAATTTTGATATATTCCTGGGTTAACCACATCGTCTTGTACTTGAAGGAATGGTTTCTGTAGTAGGGAGTTTTCAGTTCATCTCACTTCCTGTCCCAACGTAGCGGCATGTGGTCATGTGAAAGTAGTCCTAAGACGGAAATGATTGCATACAACCATTAGGAATGTGGAAGGTGGCAGTGGCTTGGCCTTATGGTCAAACAAAAAACTCAGAAAAATCAGGAATTTATACTCTTTGGTTATTATTGTTATCCTTTAATATAAGAAAGGGTGTATATTAAGCATAGACCCTGGAAGATGCAATAAAAAATGTTCTAACTGCTAGCATGCAAGATCTTATCAACTGGCTGTTTTCATCTTCAGCTATTGGTCAGAGAATTCAACTGATTAGCTGGTGGTTTTCGAGAAGTTCTGGAGACATAATGATTATATAAATGCTTTCATAAATCCTGTACCCAGATGACTACATAAATCTAGAGAGATTCAGAGCAAACTGGATCCACCTAAGGTATATTGTAAATCTGATATGGAGGAGTAAAGGGATTGAAAGGCTGATTTCTGGAAATATTCATATATGAATCAGCCATCTTGGTAAAACTAAACAGCTCTGACTTTGCCCAGAGCCTGTTAATAAGACACCTGGGCACATCATATAAACCACCTTAAGTACTATGACTCAAGAAATATGTGATATAAATGTACTAAATAAAATAACATAAGGGCAAATGTAGGAAAAATACTGGCCTGATACAGTAATTAAAATATCTCTCTTAGAAAGCTGCAGAACCTGCTGAAGAATTTATAAAAGCACTCACTAGAATAGTACTACAGAGTTTAGGATAGGTTCACTCCTACATTCAGATGTTTGCAAAATTTGGACCAGAAAAGAATGTTTACAAAATTCCTTAGTTGAGCACACAAGGTTTATTAGAAGACCCTCTATATGTGATGTGAGCAGCATGGGAATCACTCTTTTATTGTTTCACCTCATGACACTTTTATAACATTCATCTCTATGGATTTTTCTTGCCACAGTTATCAATTCTATTCTCAGATAGACAACATTCATGGGAAGGAGAACAAGGGACAGTTATCCTGCCCACACAATGCTGGTCTTTTAAATATTTTACAGCAATAATGTGGGGCAGAGTCATAGAAAAAAACAACTATATTGTACAAAACAGTAACTGTAGATAGGAGTAGCTGTAACAAATCAAACTTGCTTTGAGGGAGACTTTATTGTATTGTTTTGTCAGGTTTCACAGAGGGACTAAGTTATAGGCACTTTACACAGATGAGGAAGGTTTTAATAAGCTCACTGAATTATGCATCTATCATAATGATGTGAAGAATTCAACTCATATATAAGTCCAAAAAGAGATGCGATAGGAGGGAGAAGTGGATGTGAGTTATCTTGGGGTGCTAATGACCTGCAAGCTATTTCTAAGATTACATAAAGAAGAATATTATTACACAGGAAATTGACAATACTAAATATTGACATGATTCTCAGGGGTTGTGGGGAGTAGGTATTCTACTGTCCGTTCTGGTTTGGAAAACTTTCCTGTTTTTTTCCAGTACATTCCATTTTTCCAAATTAATTAATACTAGGAAATTCATTACTTAAGAGATTCCTGGGTTTCCTGCCAATAAATACCTTCTCTCATGTCATTCCATGCCTCAACTTGGAGAAAATCAACAGTATTTATATACAGTAGATGCTGAAGATGGTACATTTAAGTTGGTTGAATTTTATGAAATGAAATACTGAAACCAAAATTGGACAACTCCAGTTTGACATCAACAATAGGCATAGATAGAAAACCAGGCACATAGAATTAAATTATATAGACAACAGTAGGGAGGGGTAAAGGACTGCGTCCCTGGGGAATGTGTGGTCTCACAGTAAAATTTTAGACTTTTCCTTCAGCATACTTTCTAAAATTAATTGCATATGGTGTGAGATTCCTTTAATGCTAGAGATTCAGTTTGCCAGTATACAGATAAGACTTCTATGGAATATGTATGGACCTTTCTAAGCCATGGATAAGTCAGCAATACTTTCTCCCTCTTCCATCATCAATAGTTAACCCAATGCTTTTTGCCTGTGCAGAAAAGACACACAATGCTTTAGGAAGCAAAATATATGTCTGAGAGAAGGACAAAGACATGTCCATCATTTTAATTGTGAAAATTGAAAAAGACAGTGATCAGAGAAATTCAACACTTTTTAAAATTGTCAAATGGGAAAGAAGGTTTTTATATTCCAAAAGATTTAGTGAAGGGCTTCATATAAAATCCTCAGATATCAGGAATGAAGTCAACTCTTTTGACCACATCCTTACAGAGTAAATTGTATGTATATCAACCATGCAAGCATATGGAACTGACAAATTTGTAAATCTGTTTAAAAAGCACCCGCAATATAAGAAAGTATGCACAATTGTTACCTATCTATCCAGAGAGTAGCATGGCTATTTAGAACAGTTTCTTCCCTTTACCATGATCTCATTCTGATCACTTCCAGTTCAACTAGGTCAGGGGTGTCAAACTGCCAGCCAGCAGGCCGGATGTGTCATGGTGAAACCGCGCCCACCCCATTGCCAGCAATGGAAAAATGTCACGTGACATTGTGAGTTTGAGACCCCTGATCTAGGTGATCACTCTGTTACTCATGTGTTGCAGCTATGATTTCATTTTACCTTTTAACTGCAATCCAAACTTTACCTATGCTAGTTTTCTGAGCTTGAATCTACTTTTAAGAAGGCAAGCAATATATTCTATCCATGTCAATGTTTTAGTCTTTCTTTGAAAAGCAGTGTGAAACTAACTTATATCTCAGTAGAATATGTAATCTACAGACCTCTTAGTCATCCTCAAGATTATGATGACTGTAGTTCTCAGGATTACCCTGTGATATTGGCAAATAGGAAATTCAAGTAGGATATGAAGCTAAGACAGAAGCCCTTATATATTTATCTGGGTAAGATAGCGGATCAAATAAAGATCTGAATACTGAACTGAAGCAGCTTCTTGAAAATCTGAACTGAAGAAGCTTCTTGGATGAAAAGCAAAACGTTTTCAAGGGGGAAAAAAAAGAAAATAAGTCCAATTGCCTTTTGAAAAAGCATTTTTCAGACAACCGTGACCTGGATGACTTGGAATCTCCACAGATATCTGAATACTTGAAAATGAAATAGACCTTCTCAATTTCAAGTGATGGCCTGGCCCACCTCAAGTAGGATCAAATTATATTCAGTATAAGTAGCAAGCTGTCCCAGGATAGGCAAAGAGATCTACTTTTTTAATTCAATCATTGGAAGGAAATTAGAAAGAAATTAAGAAAAGCTCTGCCCTAATGTATTAGGCAATAAATTGGTTCTGAATGGGAACCGCTGTTCTTGAAATTATTGTAATATTATTTTCTTCATCTCAATAAACCTTGCTTAGAAAAAACTACTTTCTGTTGGACACTTGGGTGGCTGCAGGAGACCTGAAGGAAAAGGAAATGGAGAAGAGATGTCTTCCTACTCAGTTCCTGACATTTTACAGTAGCTCAGCTATGAAGAATACAAAGACATCAAAATCTACAGTAGTCACTTGGGAACAATCTGATTCACCTTAGGAGAAAGAGCTAGAGTAAGGGGCACAAGAAAAGTTTTTAGCTATGTAAAATCATATCATAGAAGATGAATAGCAGCTTAACTAAAGCAATGAAACAGCTGTGAATGTGGGTTGTAGAAAAGTGATCTAAGATGTATGTTAAATATAGCTTCTTTGGTGAAAACCTGAAGAAATATCTCAGGTGATGCTGAAGAAATGTTCCCTAGAGGTTTTAAAGAAGGCAGTGGATGAGCTGTTAGGAATATGTAAGGATAGGCAATCAAACGCTTGAGTTACTCAATACACATCCATTGTCTTACAGTTTCATAGGATTACTTTCCTTACAATCAGGGCCTATCCTTTTCTTACCTGTGTTCCCATTCATGTGCAAACATGAAGCAAAATTTGTTTTGCCACATAGCAAAATATTTGATCCTGAATGTTGCACTGAAAATATACACAATGGCATTCACCTTGATATCTTGTAGCAGTTTTCATTTATGTAGGAAAATCATGAGTTTGGAAGCAGTTCTTGATTAGACGTTTGTCTTTGCCATAAGCAGGGCAGGAGTAAAGAATCAATCTCTGTTGATAGGATCACTGCATGTAGTAATCTAAGAGTAATGCTGATGCAGTGCTATCATTCTGCACATGAAGGTGACCTTTGTGGAGATGATACAAACAGCTCTGAGTCCCACAGTTGCTAGGAAACTTCATAGAAGCAGGGCAATGTGGATGCAACATGATGAAGAGCAGCAATCCAGAATATTGAGAATCATTCTGCTGATTCTTCCTGTTTTAGAATAGTAGGAAATGGAAGAAAGTGCTCAGTCCTTCTAATTTGTATGTAAATGAGTGTGCATGTGGATCTGTGTCAGTGCATTTCTGTACCTATGTCACTAGAGCTTATAAATCTGTCACCAACATGAAAACTACATCCTAATTTGGGATTATGTGGGTTGGGATGCTGTCCCTGTTACAATAATTATAAGAGGTAAACATGATATTAAATATCTGTGTCTGTGTCCCTAATTTGGCTCTCTTTCACGACCGTCCTTGTGTTGTCTGCTTCTGATCTCCACCAAACTCTGGACTGTATAGACCTTTAGGGTCCTAGTAGTTTCCCTGCGTGCTTTTGTCAACATAATATCCACAGTGGAATCACTCATCTTTGCTCAATAGGCTTGTGAATCTGCTATGATTTGAATGGATCCGGTTTACTAAGAAGTGGGCAGGGCTTACCCATGAATGGATCTTGTGTTTGGTGTGGAGGATATGGCCCTAAGCTCCAGCCTACATGATTGAGCAGGTGAAGCCACAGCACTCCTTCAAGAAAATGAGGCCTGTCTTTGTTACATAGGGTGGGGAGGTTTGCTGTCCTCTTGATGTCATCTTCTTTTCTTTTACAGGAGCTATGAAGAAACAATTGGTTATTGCCATAAGAACAGCACTTGTCATACAGCTCTGGAGAATGAACTACAAGCTGATCTGGGGAAAGGGGGTCTCTCTGATGTCTGAGCAATTCATTAGGAAAGACTGAGTACTAGTGCTGGGTCAGAACTAACTGATGAGTATCCTGAGTATTCACAGAGGAGAAATACCCTTAATCAAGTAGTTGCAAAAATTACAGCAAATCTTATGTCCATTAAAATGCTGCACAGGTCAGTCTCTCACCTTCAATATTGTTCCTGCTTTGGGCATTATATTTTTGAATGACTCAGAGAGGTTGACTGCATTATTCAATTGACCAATAGTGAGATATGGCTGCAAAAAATGCAAATGCAATCAACAGCATTAAACTTGTTTTATTCATGATCAGTAATTATTCTATTCTGTTCTGTTCAAACTCCATCCTGAGTACTGTGTCCAGTTTTAGGCATCACACTTTAAGAAGGATTTAGAGAAGTAGGTTCAAAGAAAGCCTGTATGGATGATTAGAGGTCTAGAAACATAAACCTATGAAAAAAAAAAGATTAAAGGAGCTTGTCATGTCTAACCTTGGAAAAAAATGATTATGGGGATAGCATTCTTCCAATATCTGGAAGAGTAAAAGAAGGTCCAGACCTGTTATCTCTCATTTTAGAATTCAGGGACTGTCATTATAAAAGGCTGATTCTGGATGAATGATAGAAAAAAATTATGAACTCTGAATAAGCAGAGTAGAAGCAATTATCTAGAAAGATGGTGGGCTTCCTGTCATTGGGGGCAGTTGGACAGTCATCTGTCTGGGACACTTTAATTTGGATTCTTGCACCAAGACTAGAGTTGAACTCAATGACCTAAACCATTCCTACCAACCCTATAGTTCTACAAAAATAAACATGCAGGATAAAGTTCAGCCAATAATGCAAACTCACTAATTTTGCTTAATACTGTGCAGATTTCTTTCTTTCGCTCTTCATATAAGCATGGATATATTATCTTGTCCATAAAAAGCAGGAGAGACAATTCCACATTCATGAGTACCTACTTGTTTTCAGAAGGCAGGTTTTGGAAAGCTTGTTCTTTAAAAATTCAGCCATTTCCTTATCTTCTTCTCGTTCTCTGTGAAAAGAAGAAACAGTCTTAGATCTGAAAAGACAATCACAAAGGAGGTGGAGTCTGAGTGATGGCTCTCCAAATCTCTGTGAAAGAGAAAGCTACTTTTCTTTAATTCTTGAATTCTCACGTTTAGAGTAGTAAATCAACTAGTTCTCATTTATTGGCAAGGAAGGTGCTTCAGTGGGATGTGATCATCTGGTCATTGGCTACATATACTTGTTTCTTGTCTTTTTATAAAATATTTCAAAATTCAGAGAACCTCAAATAACCAGTTAGGAAGTTTGGGGTAACATGATGAATTTCTTAGGAAGACATGATTTTGCTAAATTTGTATTCCTGCCTTGATTACTTTTCTGTACAGGTAGTTCTCAGCGTACGACCACCATGAGCCCAAAATCCTTGGCTAAGCAAGACAGTTGTTAAATGAGTTTTGCCCCCTTTTACAACATTTCTTGCCTCAGTTGCTAAGCTAGTAAGCTTCCCCAAACAAAGCTTTCCCACTTATTTTGTTTGTCAGAAGGTCACAAAAAATGATCACATGACCCTGGGACACTGCAACTGTCATAAAACATGCCAACGGCCAAGCTTCCAAATTTTGATCATATGACATGGGGATGCTATAATAGCTGTAAGCATGAAAAATGATCATAAATCATTTTTCAGTGCCATTGTAACTTCAAACAATGACTAAAAGAATGGGTGTAAGTCGAGGACTATCTGTAATCTACTCCTGTTGCCACATTTCCTTTGTCAAAGTCTCAACAGTGTTTTAAACAGGATGGTATGATTAATGCAAAACTGAATGTAACACAGTACAGAAAAGAAGTGAAAAAATTCTGACTTTGTGTCCAAACTGTTCAGAAAGCAAACTAGTTTAGCAGAATGCCTGCGTGGTACAGTAGATAAAACACTGGCCTTTTGGCAGCAACCTTGTCCAACTGAGTCCCCCACAGATGTGTTAGGATAATTAGGATTCCAAAATCACAATTCAGCCTTCTGAATCTACATCTTTCTAGTGCACTTTTCTGCATCCTGGTATCTACTAGCTTTGCTGAACTGCAATTCCCAGAAATGCTAATTATTGACAATGCTGGTTTGGAATTCTGGGAATTGTAGTAATACTGGGCCTCAGCTCTGCAGGTTTATTATAGGAATAAAAAGGAATAACTACTATGTGTTTTCTTGGAATGTTTGCAGTATGGGGGAACATAATGTAATCAAGAACTTTGCAGGAAGTTGGCATGCTTACCTGAGCCTTTCAAATTCTACATCATCCACAAGGAAATCCCGAGTCTCCACAAGTTTATGAATTTGTTGCACTAAATCGTCCTCCTTCTGTTTGTCGTCTTTTGATTTTTTATTTTCTGCAATATGGGAAAAATACATGTACAGATATGTTTATTATAGAAAACATTTGCAGGTAAGATGAAGAAGATAATTCTCAGAATGAAGGAATTCCCAGAAAGATTATTGTTTAGATTAGATTAGATTAGATTAGATTAGATTAGATTAGATTATCAATTATCACCAGTTGTAGAATATTCTCCCAAGAAAGTTTTACTTAGTTCTTGCCTTCAGAGACAGGAAAATATCTGCTTACTGGGTTTTTGAAATCCATATTAATCTTCCTGTCTCTTTATGAAATTTTCTTCCCTGTTAATTTTGAATTTAATGTGTATTTGTTATATTGGAAATCCTAGAAGGAAAAACAGCTCAGGATGCATGGGAAACTCTGAAAAATGAAATACTAAGGGCCCAAACAAAAACAAAACCACAGAGAAAGAAAAAAAAATGGATGAGACCAACATGGTTGCACAAAGAGTTCTCTGACAAACAGGATGAAGAGGGACAAGTATAAAAAATGAAAACATGGATATTTAACTAAAACATAATATCAGCAAATAGTCTGAATCTACAGGGATGGAGTCAGGCAGGCTAAGGCTCAGAATAAATTAAGACTTGCAACAAATGCCAACAATAACCAAAATAAGTTTCTTTCAGACAATAAGGAACAAGAAAAAAAAAGTCAAGGAAATGATCAGTCCACTAATGGGAGAAGATGGCAAAAAAGTGGTGGGCACCAGGGAAAAATCAGAGCTGGTTAAATCCTTCTTTGCATCTGTCTTCATGCAAAAGGAAAAAATAGTCCAACCCAACAAAAGCAGCATATGGGAAACAGAACAGAAATGTAGATTAAAATAGGTAAGAAATTGGTTAAAAAACACTTATTCACTGGAGATGAATTCAGATCACCAGGACCAGATGGTTTATATTCCAGAGAACTGAAAGAGCTGGCAGATGTGATCTTTTCCAAGTATAGCAGAATCTATTGATGGACCTGACTCTCAACAGAATGGTATGCAATATGGGCTCATAAACCACAGACAATTCAATTACGGTTGCCATGCAGCCTCTTGAACTTTTCAACAATTGCTACTGAATTTGAGTTTTGGGAATCTACATAATTCTGTAAGAAATTCTGTGTCTTATAAATCCGCCAGCAGTCTTTGGAACAATGGCCTTACCTGGCACTGTAATCAACTTCTGTAACTCCTTTTTCAACCTGCTGATTTCCTTACAAAGCTGGATATCATCCATCCTGCACAAACAGAAAAAAAAAACATAGCCCTAAGCATAAGATAGAGCTTCTTTGGTGTAGTGGTTAAAGCATCAGGTTAGGGAGACCATGATTTCTACCTTGGGTACAAAGCCAGCTGGATGACCTTGTGCCAGCCATGTTCTCAACCCTAGGAAAGAAGCAATGGCAAACCACTTTTGAAAAACCTTGCCAAGAAAACTGCAGGAACAAGAATTTGATGTGATTGAGTAGAAGGAATAAAAACAGATGAAACCTGAACAGCACTTATTAGAAGTTATGAAAGAAAACTGAATAAAGAGCACAGTGGTCTTATTATTGTTGTATATGATCATGACAGCAAGATTTTTATATGTGAAGAAATTGAAAAATAAAGAAGTGGATGTTTAAAATTATAGATTTGGCAGAATGGCAAAACTTACATTTCTAGAAAAAGAGATAACTACATATACTTTTATTAAAAACTGGAGTCTCTTATGGACTATGTTACAATTGTAGAAAAAAATAGCTGGATGATAAAGAGTTTTATAGATTAATTAAGGGGAGATAATGAAAAACGTAAATAGTGACTACAATCATATAAAAGAATAAGAAATGGTTACTGGCTCAGTGAGAAAAGAAGGACGGAAGTGGATGATACCATTTTTTTTGTTTAAATTAGATGTTCAGTTTTGTACTGTGGGTTTATGTTTTTGTGTATGTTTCTGTATTGTGTTTCATGCATAAAATTTTAATAAAGTTTATACAGAAAAGGAAAATAATATTTAACAAGCTAAAGTGAACACAGAAACCATACATGATTATGGAAGGCAACATTTACCGATATGTACTACCATACTCTTTCAATAGTAACTGCTTTATTTCTTCCAAAGGAAAATGACACTGAATATAAGAGAATCAATCTAAAAAGAAAAGTAGATAGGAGATGATTGAGAGATGATAACTATCTGGCTAGATAAATTGTTTGACAGACAGACAGATTGATTGACAGGCAAATTGATTGACAGACAGAAAGATAAATAGATTGATTGACAGACAGATAGATTGATTGACAGACAAAAGATATCTTGTCCTGTGCCCCATTCCCCTATCTTCAACTATAGCTGAAAACTCCAACTGAAAGAAGCCTGCCCCTCCCACTCCCTACAATATGCATAAATATTACATGTCCATTGTATGTATTTATACATACTTGCCAGACATCACACTCAAAGAAACAGCAGTGCCTGAAACTAAATAAATATTAATAAATTAGTTTGTGATGTGTTGGTTTTTAATTGCTGTTGTTGTATCTGGCTGTTTTTAATTTGATTATTAAATCACTCTGAGTTATGTATAGCAAGTGGGTAGGCATATAAATAAATAACAATACATATTAAGATATGACTATATTTGGACAGGAAAAAAAAGGAAAAGGGGTACAAGCTATTCATACTTGCTTCTTCACAATTACTTGTTTAGGTAAGTGTAGGAAAACTATCTTCCACTTATCAAAACTTATGCAACTTTCTCTCCTTTGAAATAATGTTCAACATTTATTAAGTAAAAATGAATGAAAATTAATAGAAAAAAATACAGGATAATGTATGTGTTAAGCAAAAAAGAAAAAGATGCACGTAAAGATGCCAGGCTAAGCAAAGGCTGTCCACAGTCTAAAGGAGCTATCCATGGTTCTGACCAAGGAGAAAGACCACAATTTTAGAATTGGTATCCCATTAAGTAAATCTATAGATCCACACTGTAAATTTTTAAATCTTTTTGTAACATTGCATTACATGTAGGAATAAACTCTGATGAGCCTAAGGTTATGAAGGTCTGAGTACATATGTCTGACATTGTACAGTACATTCATTTTTACACAGCTGATCTGTATAATTTAAAAGAGAAATGTACACTGGCTAGAACCACCTTTTAAAATGCTTTCCTCTTGGTCTACCTGTCTATCAAATTTAGATATCACCCATCTTACTCTCAGAGTAACTCTGGGCAGTTTACAGATAAAAGACTAAAAACCGTATAAAATGTAGTATATACCAAGGTCAGTAAAATGGGAGCCAAGTAAAAACATAGGAAAATAAATTAAAAGACAGTAGGAGGCAGTGAAAGCCTTCAGGTCACTAACCACCTTCAGATTTATATGCTCCTCTTTGAGCCCCACATAAGTTGGTAGAGTCAAGTCTTCATTTTTCTGAAAGGCCAGGAGAGTGGGGGGCATTTAACCTCTGGCGGAAGGATGTTTCATAGGGGAGGGGCAATGGCAGAAAGGTCTCTTTCTAGACCCTGCCAGTTGGGATTCTTTAACTGATGGCATCTGCAACATACCTTCCCTGCTAAGTCCAGAACTTGGAATAGAGTCTTCTTTGTCCTCAGAATTCCCAGCTTAATTGCTTCCAGTATGGAGTGAGTCAAAGCCAGGAGAAAATAATGCTCTAGTAAAATATTTAGAGCTACAGAAATGTCTATCCTTAACCACTCCTAGTCTCAGTTTTAGAAAATTAGCTGTTACTGATAAGTCAACAAAGAAAAAGGTTGTGGCACAACACAGATGGGAAGTCCTTCTCACAGTACCTTAAGGCTTAAGGTTAATCCCAAAATACTGGTCTGCTTTGAACTCTTAGATTTATCCAGAGTGACGGTTTAAAGGAAAATGTTCAGTTGACAGAAGGGATATTTTCACAGATATGACATGTTAGTGAAATCTCTCTCTCTTGCTCTCTCTCTCTCTCTCTCTCTCTTTCTCTCTCTCTCTCTCTCTCTCTCTCTCTCTCTCTGTGTGTGTGTGTGTGTGTGTGTGTGTGTGTTGCAAATATGTGGAAGATAGGAGGACTAAGGGATAGAAAAACTGTAACCTAATCCATGCTTTTTTGAGGTATGCAACTTGGTCAGCTGACTGAGCTAATATTCAGTCCCATATACTGTAAAAATCCTTTGCAAACATTGCTACTCTCTGGAGTTCTTTCCAAATCAGATTGCCATCACAGAAACCTCTGAAATTTCTGGGGCAGGCTGAATAATGTAGACTTTGAGGAAGTGACGCTGACCTGATTCTTTTGAGAAATTCTTCTCATGCAATGAAGCCTACAATTATTTTGAGGAATCTGTTGCAGATGAGGGGATTGAGGAGTGTAAAGACATGTTCAAAATTGCATGGAGGGACAAAAGCTGTTGAATTGACAAGGTGAAAGGGAAGGGGGGCAGAAGGAGGAAAATGTGGCAAGAGAATTCAACATTACCTCCTTCTTGCTACCCTACAAACTTGGAAAATCACCTGAAGCCTTACATATCACACACACACAAACACAGACACACAGACCCAGTTTTCCCAATTTCCAACTCACATGTATCGGAGCTCTGACTCTCTCCGCACAAGAACTTCCTTGATTCTTTCAATTTTGCAAAGTTCTCCTTCAATGTCATCAAGGGTAGCTGTAGAGTCAGCCATAGAAACTATTTCTTCCCCTGAAGAAATAAAAGACAAGAAACGCAGTTAGTGAGAAGGATGGAGGAGAAGAGAGGAAGATCTAACATCAACCAATCACTTGAGTGAACAGGCTGAAGATTAGTGTTAGGCAGCACCTTCAGCAATTATATTCACATGGAACCCAATCAGTCTTTTTCTCTTTTTTTGGTGAGCTACTCAGGGTGCTTGTATACGAGATAGTCAGCCATATGAATATTTACAATAACAATAAAAAACAATTCTTCCTTAGCACAATAATCCTCAAGATCATTAGAACTGTCAATCCTAATTTTACCCCTTTCCCCATGATATTGATTTTCTTTCATCTCCAAACCACAGTTTTCATAGCCTTATCCTCCATAGTTTCATAGCTCATCCCTGTCCTTTCCATCACAAAGACCTTTAAAAAAAACATTGCCCATTCCTGCTGGAAAGGAGGCTACAGGGATTCCTACTACTATTTAGAAAATGGTGAGAGGGTTTCCCATAGGAACTATTGGAGCCTGAACACAACATTCATTATCTGCTCTGTTCTGGGCCCAGTGCTCTTCAACATCTTCCTCAGTGATTTGGATGAGGGATAGATGGGGAACTCATAAAATCTGCAGACAACACCAAGCTGGCAAGAATAGCCAACACTCCAGAAGATAGGCTTAAGATATAGAAGGATCTTGACAGACTTGAACATTGGGTGCTATCTAACAAAATGAAATTCAATGGTGAAAAAAGCAAGGTTCTACATTTAGGCAAGAAAAACCAAATGCATAGGTATAGTATAGGTGGTACCTTGTTCAATAGTAGTAACTGTGAGAGGGATCTCAGAGTCCTAGTGGACAATTACTTAAATATGAGCCAGCAGTGTGCTGCAGCTGCCAAAAAAGCCAACACGATGCTAGGCTGCATTAACAGAGGGATAGAATCAAGATCACGTGAAGTGTTAATACCACTTTATAATGTGTTAGGCCACACTTGGAATACTGCATCCAGCTGTGGTCACCACGATGTAAAAAAGATGTTGAGACTCTAGAAAGAGTACTAAGAAGAGCAACAAAGATGATTAGGAGACTGGAGGCTAAAGCATATAAGGAAAGGCTGCTGGAATTGGGTATGTCTAGTTCAGGGGTAGGCAACCTTGACTCTTTTATGACTCGTGGACTTCAACTCCCAGAATTCCTGAGCCAGCATGGCTCAGCTTGGAAATTCTGCCTTTCCCCTCAACATGGCTGGCTCAGGAATTCTGGGAGTTGAAGTCCACAAGTCATAAAGGAGCCAAGGTTGCCTACCCCTGGTCTAGTTTAATGAAGAGAAGGACGAGGGGGGACATGATAGCAGTGTTCCAATATCTCAGGGGCTGCCACAAAGAAGAGGGAGTCAAGCTATTCTCCAAGCTATTCTTCTCTTGTCCTGAAGGCAGGACAAGAAGCAACGGATGGAAATTAATCAAAGAGAGAACCAACCTAGAACTAAGGAGAAATTTCCTGACAGAACAATTAATCAGTGGAACAACTTGCCTCCAGAAGTTACAAATGCTCCAACACTGCAAGTTTTTAAGAAGAGACTGGACAACCATTTGTCTGAAATGGTATAGGGTTTCCCGCCTGAGCAGGTGGTTGGACTAGAAGATCTCCAAGGTCCCTTCCAATTTATTATTATTATTATTATTATTATTATTATTGTTGTTGTTGTTGTTATTTCCATCATGCTAGAATGGTGTACCAATTCCACTTGTTCCTTATCCTCATGACTGGCCTTGTCTCATTTCTAGGCTTTGGTTTATCCTGTTTTATCGTGCTGTTTGTTGTATTGCTAAACACCCATCAGTTGCAGAATAAAGAGAAAGAAGAGAGCCAGGAGATCATTGCTGTGCCAGCAGCTTTTTTGCAAAGATCATTAGTGAGAAAAGGATGGTTGCTCCTAGGCTGAAATACCTGTCTATGCTGATCTCTCCCTGCCTCAATGTTTTGGACTTCAACTTTTGGATTCTGAATTAAAGTATTCAACCTCCTAAAAGGATTTCAATTGGACCTAAAGCAAAATGTTCAAATGGCAAATAAGGGCTAAAGATATGGAACAGCACTGAAACACTGGGAGAATTGCTAGCAACTCCTCCAATCTAGCACCTGAAGGGATGTCAACTATAGAAAAGGTCCAAATTGTGTCTGCAGGTCACTTTCTTTCTGATTTCACCCATAAAATGACTCCTCCATTCCTTCCTTCCTTCCTTCCTTCTTTCTTTCTTGCTTTCTTTCTTTCTTTCTTTCTTTCTTTCCCTTCCTTCCTTCCTTCCTTCCTTCCTTCCTTCCTTCCTTCCTTCCTTCCTTCCTTCCCTCTTTCAACACATCTTCAAGAATTTAACAAGCCCAGTGTATGTGCTTGCCTTCACTCTTAGCATTATTTCCCTGGAGAATCACTGAAATGAAACATATTATTGGAAAATGAAATGCCTGAATATTTCCTTTTTCCTAAGAGTGAGTAGAAAAAAGCATTTTAACTGGGTCAGAGGAACAAAGAAGAAGCCACCCTCTTTAAATAAAACAGGGAACAACAATTATGACACACCTGTCAGTGAAGAGGATGCCTGGATAATAGGGATGTTCTCTCACTGAAGTTTCTATCAATGGTTTTTAAATGCTAAGATGCCCTTTGTGTTTCTTCATGAATGGCTATAGCTCAGCAGGAAAGTATATGCTTGGCATACCCAAGAACTCAGATTCAATTCTTGGCATCTCCAGAAAGGACAAAGAAGCACTCCTGTCTGTCAATCACTGCCAGCAATACTGTGCAAGATGGACCAATGGCCTGAATCATAAGCTTCTTATGTTTCTGTGTTCTCCCCACCCCACCCGACCCACCTTGCCAGAATTGCTATTTATTGTTGTTAATTTCTCCTTCTGGAAATGATTCTGATGAAAGTTGGTGGCATATGCATTTAATAAAAAAATTATCCAGCAGGCTCTTGTGGCAAACTGAAACAGTGAGCATGAGTTACAAGTGACCCACCCCCACCCCAAAATCAGCTTGCCTTGATTTGAGTTCTGCAAACATTGGATCTGCTTTGCCAAATACGACTTGTGTGGAGAGAAAAGGAAGTTTGCAACTGCATTATGGCCAGTAATGCCATCTTTCTCTACTACACTAAAACTTGTTTGACATGTACAGTACTAGCAGAGGTCAGTAATAAGATCGGCATTTCATTATTGGAATCAACCCAGCAAGAAGGGCAGGGTTTGAGCTCAATTTCATTCTGTTTGAGAAGAGTTCCTCTTGGCAAAAGACAGCAAAAATTACAAATATCTGTCTTATATGACCTTGTGGAAGAGCAATTGTTTCTAGGTGCCTAGCATTATAATTAACAGGGGAATGCTCTGATTTGGGTGCCTCTGTCAAATATTTGACAGAGGCACCCGAATTTCTGCACAAATTTCTACTATGCTGGCTGGGGAATTCTGGGAATTCAAGTCCACAAGTCTTCAAGTTGCCACGTTTGGAGACCCCTGGCCTAAGAGATACTCAAACTTCTGCATAAACCAAGACATGTCCAAGTATACTAACACTTAATCTGGAGTGACTCAAGACTTTTTGTTGTCTTAAGTGAAGCAGCATGAAGATGGAGAGATGACAAGTTGTTGTAATGTTCCAAAATTCCCTCAGTCATTGCAGGAGATACTTAAGTGCACTCTCGATTTGCATGGAAGAACAGGAAATATTTCCTTAATTGGTATGCTGCTTTCAGAGTGAGGAATTAACACGGAGCTGGTTTACTATGGGATGACTCAAACTTAGTGCCCTATTTTAGAATAGACTAGAGCTTCTAAGGTCTTCTAATCCAGCCCCCTGCTCAAGCAAGAGACCCTATACCAGGGGTAGGCAACCTTGGCTCTTTTATGACTCGTGGATTTCAACTCCCAGAATTCCTGAGCCAGCCATGCTGGCTCAGGAATTCTGGGAGTTGAAGTCCACGAGTCATAAAAGAGCTAAGGTTGCCTACCCCTGCATACCATTTCAGACAAATGGCTGTCCAGTCTCTTCTTAAAAGCCTCCAGTGACGAAGCATCCACAACTTCTGAAGACTAAAGCTGTGCCACTGGTTAATTGTCTTCACTGTTAGGATGAGTTTGGTTGACCAAAACTCAGTGCCCTATCTACAGCAAGTGATCAGAGCCACCTTTTAAAATGGCAGGGTCTTCTTTGACATGTGGCTAGGTAAAACTAGCAGATTTCTGAAATGCATGTCCAAATGCCATTTTCCTATCTTCAAACTGTTTTTGTGTTTTATTGCATACATTTAATAAAGTGGAGGATGGATGGATGGATGGATGCTTCTCACTTGGTTTAATAGCATTTGCTATATAATTTAAATCCATAATTCCTTATAAGAGAAAAGGAGATGAACAGATGCAGAGGGACAAGCAATGGATTTGTTCTGTCATTAAGAAATGGGAAGTTTGTCAGACCTAGCTTATTGTTTTCCCATTCACAAAAAATTAGGAACTTTCCCTGAACAAATAAATAATAAATCCTTACTTGGAGCTCAAATTCACATTTGGAAGCAATAAATGAATTTTGTTAGAAAAATAAAGACTATCCTCAGGCATCTTAGCTGAGGATAAGGATGCTACTTTTCTGGTAATCTGTGAATCATGTGTTTTTAACTTCCAGGGACAATATATGCCCTTTTAATTATTACAAGAGGTTGTTCCTTTGAGTGTTTAGTAAACAAACACCATGCTGCAATGATCTGTGTCAGATGCCCTTGGAAGGGGGATGAAGAGGAACCAAATATTTTGGTTCTCAGTCAGATGTTCTTGCTCATACTTGTCTTCCTTTCTGCCTATCACTATTGAATGCAAAGTTACTCTATCTTGATTGCCAGGGAAATAGGCAAGTGACCAAGAAGCCCCTTCTGTAATCCACAACATCACCAAGAGTTGTGGGGTGGGGGTGGGGGTAGAGTGTAAGAAGTAGAAAGAGGAATGAGCTATCAATCTTCTCTTGACTACTATAAAACTTTAAAAAAATAGTTAACACATGAACACCCGTGTGTTAATATCCATGCATACAAACATATATATACACACATAATATCATACAAACATATATTTCTTCTGCAGAGGTGCAGGGATTTGAGCCCTGTTGCTAGAGATAAAGGTCATAGAACTGAGTTGGTATTACAGCAGTGCCCCAGATGTGCAAAGTAAACTTACCTTTGCCTGAATCTGCTGCAGCCCACTTGGTTGATTCCAGGGATCCATACTGGGTGGATGCCTTGCTCTCCTTTTCCATCTTCACTCCTTGCTGTGGTTTTTAAAATGTCCCTCTTCCCCCTTTTTTAAATGGTCAGAATTCCCTAAGGAGGAGGACTTCTAAGGAGCAGAGGTTGCCAGGAAGCTAAGCTCAGCTTTTGATCAAGCAATCATTTAGTAAGGAATCAAAAGGGCAGGGATCTCAGCCAAGCCAGGTCCCGGCTTGGCAGCTGCCACCCACCATCAGTTCATACGGCGATGCTCTTGTACATCTGTCGAGGGATAAAGCAGAATCTGAGGCTGCAGGAGACTAGATGAAACTCTGTTATGACACTGAGAGATGCCCTCTGGTGGTTAAAAAGGTTTATTTTTTTATCATTTGAAAGACTCCAAAAAATCAAAATACCCCTATTTATTCCACTGACTTTGTCCCATCTCTCTGCCTGCAACTAGTCATTACTCAACCACTCAATTTAACTCCATGCAAAACAGTATAAAACCACTTGCATAAATATCTCTTTGTTTTTAAGTAAATTCAGCTAATAATACTATAGCGAGCTAAGCCCACCCAAAGTTGCAGATCGATTGCAAGAGGGTTTCCCCAGTATTATGACATGAATCGATTCCTTCCTCAACCTTTTTAGAGAGAGCAAAGAACAAGAATCAGTTTGTCCAACACAAAATATAAATTTATTTGCAGTTTGGAAGACAGAAGCTTTGTTCTTCTTCCCTTTACCTCTACTAAATCTTGAGCTTTATGGCATTTTCTCAGCATCAATTTTCAACACGTTTCATTGTGTTCAGCTTCTGCTGGACCCCTCCATATATTGTTGACATGCCACATTAATTCCATTAACTACAAAGGATATGAATTTAAAGTCCAATAAATGCAGAGGATTTCCCCCCTCCTCTCTATTCTTAATACAATATGAACAAAATTTTCCCAGATGTCCACTATCTTTACTTTCTGGTGAGTAAAAAATTTTAAATTTAAACTTGCTGGGACTTGCAATGAGCCAGTGCAATAAAATAAAATCAGATTGATTGAAAGCTGGTAAGGATTTCTGTTTTTCAGCAAAGTCTGCAAGTTCTATCATTTAATATTTATCTGTGAATCATCATCATCATCTAATGTATCTGTGAACTCCCCCAAAGTCCCTGGTAGTTGGGTCATATAAAAAGAAATAAAAATAAAATATCTGGAATGTGTTTACTTAAAACAGTGTAGGACAGCCCTGGACCAAGAAGAGACAGACCAATAGTCTCTTGTCACAATAGGCCCATGGCTGGGAGGGGAACTCCTTCACATTTCTTCTGCGCAACTAAGTTTTTCTGACTAAATGGAATAGCTGAAACTGCCTCAAATAAAGACATTTTCTTTGGCAGCTGCTAGGTAAACTCCAAATCCACTTTCCTCTTGTTTGCAAAATGTGCGTATTAGTCATCTTGATGGTGGCTAAACACACACCAGGAATAGAACATTCTTTATTTTGCAGTGATTCGTTTTACCATGACTGGGAGTTTAGTTCCTGGAGTAGAGACCTGAAAAGGTTACAGCCTTGAATTGTTGATTCTGTTGGGCAGGGAAGTAGGAGGGTGGAAGAACTAGTGAAGGTACTAGACATATTTTAATTTAAATACACTAATTGTATGTTTGGGAAACGAGGAGATAGATGGAATTTTAATTTAATTTTGGTTTAGGCTTTTTTGGACGAGAAAAAGGAAAGAGGCAGAGAGAGGAATATACTTCCAATGTTGTATGGAAGTTGTACATGCTTCTGAGCAATATAAAAAAAAATGAGAAAATTTAAGCACAGAATTTCAGTTGGGTCACTTACTTATTCAAGACGGATCATTGGTAGTGCAGACTGTCATAAAGTTTGGATCTGCATTTCCTCATTAGTCTTCTAGATAAAACAGCATTAACAATTCCTAGTAATGCTGCAATAATTGAACACCAAACTCTGAACATGTTCAGAATTTTGCAGCACTGGAGTCCAGAGGACATTCGGTTGTCACCACCACGCAATAGTGTATAACAGCTCAGTTATTCAAGCTGCCAAATTTAACCATAAAGCCACATATTGTGACTTGCCCCACTGCTTCCTTAAAATCATATTTCAATACATAGCAAGTCTCAACTGACTTATGAGTAAACCTTTAAAAACTTTATTTCTAATATGTAGTTATTTCCTTGGAAAAAATGATAATTTTTGGATTACAATATGGTTTATTAGTTTTTCCAAGGAAATTATTTAAATTAATTAGGGAACAATCCTACCATGATACATACTAGATAACAGAACTGTTTACCGAAGTGCATTGATCTTGTTTCGGGGATATGTTTTATCTTTTCTGTTAATTGGCATAAAATAATTAAATGTAACTATGATGTAGGAGAAGACCCAGCTGAGCCCGAGGGAAGGGTCAAACAGATCATTAGACACGAGTCCCTGCAAGCCCTCAAAAAAGCTAAGTCCAGACCAGCTTGAATGTCTTTCTTATCTCCCGCTCATTTCCCTTGACCGCTAGTTGGTCAGATTCTTGTAGACAGCTTAAACTTGCAACAAATTTTTATAATCATTTGAACTGCCTGAATCTCCTGATTTCCCTGGTGCTTGATATATGATTAAAATATATATAAATAAATATAAATTGCAGCTCATCTGCAAAAACATAGGTTTAATTAAAACTTACAGTGTTGAGTGAAAAACATGTTTCTGACTGAATAATGGGCCTCAACAGTCCCCCCCCCCAATCCTTTGGCTGCTGTTCCCCAAACTTGTTGAGCTAACTCCTGGTTTATGTTATATAAAACCATTAAGCACTTGGTTTAGATTTCTCAGACATCACTTCTGAATTTCTAAAGCCATTTTGCAGAATAAAATGAATTTCTGTTGTCTTGAATATTGTCTTTATTTAGTAAAACATATTGTCAAGATGGCTCATCCACCCTTTTGTGTTTATGAAGAAGCAGACAAAATAATACTTTTGTGAACAGTTCCAAATTCCAAATGTGCCATTAATCCAAAGGAGTTTGAGCACCAGCTGAGGCCTTGCAGCAAATTGAATGAAAGATGCACTTTAGCAGAGAAACACTTGACATACCTGGATTTCTGACAACCAATTGTCCAACCAATTCAAGCATGTCTTAAATTCAGCTTGGGACATTTAAGAGTGTTTCTATATATGTTACTTTCTTAATAGAAGCATTTGAAGCTGAATTGCCTCTGCAAGCAATACACATCCTTCACCTTGCTTTATTATTTGTTCAGAACTAACTTCTACTGTTTCTTCAGGCAGACAAAGAATGTTAAAATGTCAACCAATAAATGGTAGAAGATCGTAAAAGTCAAATGTATTTTTCTTCACATAACATACAGTTAAACCATGGAATCAATTATCAGAAGTTATGATGACTAAAGGCACTTCTTATAATAATTATGATAGTTATAAAATATTGCTTAAAATCTATTGTAAAGTAGTATAATTAGGAAAGATTCATGCTTGTGGGCTTTCTCTAGGACAAGAATGGATATCCCAGAATCCTCTGCGTCTCTAAAGGGCTTTCTTTCTCTCACAAGCCCTCCCCCCCCCCCATGTCTGTCTGTCTCTTCTTACCTTAGTGGTTAAAAACTGGTAGCATGATTTTGTGCCATTTGAAACCCCACAAATGTCAGTGTAAGTCCCTGGATACAATTAACATAATTTCCAAAACAATAAAAAAAATCCAGACAGCACCCACTAAAATAAACAAATAAATAAAAATCTGCAAACATCCTAGAAATGATGTCCCCATTCACGTTATCATTCTATATGCTGAATTCACATCAAAAATGATAAGTATGAGCCTTTTGGCCAATGCTAGTGTGGACTAGAGAGCATTTAGTCAGTTCCAGAAACACTCAGCCTAAGTATCAAGGTAGCTTTAATGAGCATGATTAAACTGAGGGATTAATTACCCAATTCTCTAGCAGTGGCCATCAGATTAGAAGACTTTAAAAAGAGATATGAATAAATATTAAGATTACTCTTATTTATTATCCTGGTATCCAAGGGAACATACCTCCAAACACCAGTTGCTAAGATACCTGATTGAAAAGGAAGCGGAAGAAACTGACTGAGCTCATGTTCTCCTCATGGGTTTTCCAGTAGGGAATTCCACCAGACAGCATTGGGGTTGAATGATGGAATAGATGATGGTACGATCTGATCTACCATGGATGTTTATGTTTTTGAGGGTACTTTGGTTCACTGTTCAAGCCTATCATTTCTGGTCATTTGTGAATTAGGATTTGTCCTTTAAGATAGCCATAGTCACATCCTGATGCCACCTCCTTAACATTTCCTTAACTGAAATTTCCTGAGGCCAGATGCTTACTTAACTACCCTGTGAGCAAAATTGGGAAGTGCAGTATAATGTTGCGGTGAGTAGAAAGTGTGCAGAACAGAGTTTTGCTCTTCAGCAAGTAATGAAGAAATGTATGACCTTTTAGAAAGTCTGTTGTATATGTGTTGATTTAGAAAAAGTTTGTGATAAAATAATAAGAACTGTTTTAGGTGAACAAGGAATTGAAAGTTGACTCCTGAATGTGTTTATAGTGGTTTTATAGGTTTTCACCCATAAAAGAACAATGCAAAACAACTCTTGAGAATGTTATCCATTTTATTAAAACAAGTACTTTCAATTTGAGCAAGTTTCTTTAGCAAAATTGTTTATTGGGTGAGTCAGTCCTGAACACTCCTGCATTTTGATCCAGAATGAAGCCATGGCTTTAAGATTTAAAATGCACTGTAAAATATTATTTTTCCTCTATTGGAAATTGTGTAGCTTAAATGTTTTCCAATGTAGCCACCTGGACACATCTTTCTCTATTTCTAAAGATTCTATCCCTGCTTGGATAAGTTACCGGACGCCTTCTTCCTCTGTGAGCCTGTCCTTGCCTAACAGAGAGAGAGAGACAGAATGTGGTTCTTTCTCTTCTGGTGTTCTGGCTTCTTCAGAGCCCTCTGTGCTGGACAGAATCTGTCCCATATTAGACCCCAATCTTCAGCATTCTTCTCTGAGTTGTTTCATGCTCCACTTCTGAGAAGGTTGCCTAGCCCAGCCTCTCCTCAAACCTGCACCTTTTCAGCAATATATCTCTTCTTTGTTCATCTCAGGTTACCAGCCAATACTGCGGTTAATTAAAACCAATAACAACTCTTCAACTACCAATACTATCTAGATTCATCTTAGCTTGCCACCTTCACTATCCATATTTTCCTT